AAAGCTACCCTTTTTTAAGAATATAAGATTGACAGTAACATTACTAAAAGCCCTGGTGACTACTGATGTATGTGATATGATTAAAGCATTGCGTTTAGAGACAACGTTTATGTACTTAATCACTGCAGGTGCATTAGCAACTGAAATAAACACGATTTGTTTAGTTAATACTTTTACTTTGCAGTATTTGAGAGCAGAAAAGCAGAAAGTACATCTGTCCTTGAACATCTAAAATGGCTCTGTTTTTCCCATTCAAGGACACATCTTGACTAAAGCCTTGTATGATATTCTTCCTTTAGGCAAAACTAACTACACTTTTGTTAAACAAGTTTTATTCAAGCTACAACACCCACATAAAAAACATATGTCTGCAACATGTTATTATACAATTATGTGTTTAAATACTTAGGCCAGTAGCTCTCAAAGTGGAGGCAGGACTCTCATGAACGCTGGGGAAAGGATTTCAAATATTCTTTAACCGTTTTTACCTATTATTGGACATAAAACGCACTGATCATTTAAGTGAAAAGAAACACAATCATTGTTTCCTACTCACAACGCCACAAGTGATCCTGTACGAGAGGATGGAGCCACAGCCTAAAGGTTTATTTGAATCATTCTCTTTGGGACATTTTATAGGTGTCATAATAACAACGACATCTATGCATGGGGTAAAACATTTTTTGATTGTGTAATAAAAAGTGTAATAAAAATGTGACTTAATAGTGTGTGCATGTCTGTGCGTTTAGAAATACAGTATCAAATCATAGAAATCCTCATCAATTCTCAGAAATGGTCTTTGAGATTACACCAATAATAGATAATAATAATTTCAGTTTGATGACGGTATGATGTATGATCAACATTATGAAATCTAGTGGATTTGATCAAGTAGGGATGTAAGTTTGAATGGATTTAAATCACATTTGAATTTTGAAAACAAAACTTTATGAAAAAAAAAAAAGTCCATTGTCTTCATACCATGGATCTACTGTATTATAGTATCTGGATTGGCTATCACTCGTTTGGAGTTGAAGGACCCGGTACTGCAGACTAAATAAGACTAAATTCATGTGGGCTACCCAGAAATGTCCCCCATAGAACTTAGAGAAATTGCCAAATATACACGGGTTCTGCTAATCTTTCGGCACCGATGTATTTGTTTTGTTTGCATGGATGGGTTTTTGCTAGTACTGGAAACCTGAATTTCTTCGACGGGGATCAATAAAGTATCTATCGATCTATCCATCTATCTATCTATCTATCTATCCAAACACAAGCCATTAATTTGAACATGGCGCCATTTTGGATGGCCGGGGCTTGCTTCATACTCACAAAGTCATTGAACTATTCAATCATCGTAAACTGTATATATGCTTTATAGAGCCATATTTCTACAATATTGCTCACAAATCTGTTAAAATATCTTTCAGTGAGATCTTATTCTTTACTGAGACAATCCATCCCACATGTGTGGCATAACACACCTCAGGAAAACATTAAGCATATAAGGTTTAATATTTTTCAAATCTATTTTTATTCTATTAAAACATGATTCCATCCCTTCTCGAATAAAGTCCGCCCACGGATACACGGAGGTGACATAATCCACACAGAAACATTGAATGGTGCACCTCTAAGATGATTTTCATTTGTACGTTTTGGCAAGCGAAGGCGCAAAAGCCATTTTCTCCTGTCAATAGTAAAACAAAACTCTGCAGCTGTAAAAAAAAAAAGAAAAAAGAATGACTCAAAACTGCCTCTCTCCAGCATCCCCTACGCCCGGGAAAAGAGCGGCCTTATAGAGTAAACACACTAAGAAGATTTGACAGTGCGCACTCTGTCTGTATGCTTTTATGCTTGAGCGACACTGATGGGAGAAAAAAACATGCAGGGATTTGGCCTTTAAAGACGACGAGAGAGAGAGAGAGAGGGCTTTGGTCGCGGGGCGGAGGGGTGGGGCGAGCGCGGCTATGATACAGACGCTTGACATGTAGCTGCGGTGTCCCGACACGGTGTCACGCATGTCTCTACAACCGACTTAAGCGGCCGGGGCAGGAAGTGGTGCTGCTATCTGGGTCAGCTGATTCATTACGGACATCTGGGCTTGAGTATGTTTTTTTTTTTACACACGTAGACCGGAGACGCCTGTTGGACTGAGAGAATTCAACTGGGTCTTAATTAAAGGGATGTTCTCTGTAGAGCCAGAATTGAGCTGGGTGAAGATCACATCTAGTCCACTATATCCCACAGTGAGGTCTAAATTAGGATGGGGTGTTATGGGGAATAAAAGCAGGCCTGAAAATACTGCTTTATTTTTTGGCGCTTATGGTTCGACCCGTGGTTTGGACTGAAGTGCAATGAGCCCTCTGACTTTTCATTATCCTCGCATCTAATCCCAGCCCATCTCGGTGCCTAATTGTTGTGTGCTCGTAATCTTTGTCAGGAGACTGCTATAGCTACAGCAAAGACATGAAGCTAGTATTGAGGTGAAGTATCGTCTCATATGCATTGGGGAAAAAAGCATAAATCATTGTCTTTGAATTTGTGTTTATTTGAATCTTTGACCTCATTTTCAGAGTAAATCTCATGCAACAAATCCCTTTTACTTTTCACTTGGCTTCCCCCCCTCCGCAGCATGAGAGGGTGCAGTAAATCCCTCATCTCAATGTCACCGGATGCTCATTAAAATGTGCGAGCTAAAGTATTAGGCAGGAAAACAGTTGGTGGCGCTGCGTCTGCTTTTGATATGTGCAAACACTATGTTTCTTCTCTAGATTTAGTCAGAAAATATATATCTGACATTGAAACTGTGCATTTCATTGTCTTTTTAAAGGGGTAGTATGCAATAAAGTCAGTGCAGCTACAGTCCCATTTTCACCTGCTGGAATTCACCTTGAAACAGTCTAAATTGTGTGTGTAATATGATTCCGCATCTGCTTTCATGACAAATGTGTGGTTATTTTTTGTTGTGAAAAGAACTGAGCCAAGACCAGCTTAATTTCACATTAAAAGTACCAAATTAGGGACTTGTTCTGCTTTATTGTTGGATCTGCTTTAAATGATATCGTTCATTGTACTTTTGATGAAGAATAACATAGGATTTGTACATGACCCATTGACTCATTATCTTGAGACACAAGTTTGAAGATGTAGATGTAATTTTTTGTGAATGCTAGGCACACTCACCCTTTAGATGGTTTAGGGCTAGAAATGACCGCAGTTGGATCACCTGTCTTTCTAAATCCTTACTATAACACTCCTCTTGTCTAAGTACTTCAGACAATAATCCAGGCTTAATATTTGAAGATGCTGTCTTTATGCCCTCTCCGTCACATGACAGATAACCGCTGCGGCCCAAAGATTGATCTCCATAAAATGCATCAAATCTAATTTTCATTTTGTTTTGACGTGTCGCTACTTCACTGACATTTCTAAACCTCAACAAGTTTTCCAGAGGGCTCTAACTTTTCTTGTTAAAATTTGGCGCCGCTGCTTATAATAAAGTCAGCTAACATTCCTGAAAAGACGTCCTAATATCTGTGCTCTGTATCTGCACATTGCAGCTTGGTATGCGCCGGCAGCAGCCCTCCAATGGCTGAGAGGCAGAGGAGACAGCTGTTTTGTCCAAGCTTCACTGATAGACCTCTGTGTGCGTTTGCTTCAGGACCTCAAAACGCCCAAACATCACTCCATCTGCACTGATGCGCTATTAGCTGTTCAAGGATGTGCTGCAGCAGAGCCAGATGCTGCAGGCTTCAGCCTATCCGCTAATGCCACCTCTTTGGACGGCACATGATGTGGTAGAGAGATAAAATGCTGGACATGGTTTTAAACGGCCTCCTGTTATTGAATACGATCAATATCTCTCCGGTAACAGGATTGTCAAATTAAATTTCGGTTGTTAGAAATGATTACTAGGAGTCAGATGGAATGGGCAGTGGTTTTGGGGATGAGGAGGGTCGATGAGGGGGGTGTGGGGTGGGGTGGGGGTGTGGAGGTTCTGGTAGCGAATAGGAGTCATTCGGGGCACGAGTGATCAACTAGTCCTGGCGGGGGCAATCGATAGCGCCGAGGGCAAGAGTTGGATATGTCTCCCTGATAAGTCTCTATGTCTGAGGCTTGCTATAATAGAGCAGAGATAGCATTTCCAGGCAAAAGCACACAGGGACACAAGACCAAGGCAGCCATGAACAAAAACTGAACCCAAACAGTGAAGCGCGACACACATTTAATCTTCCTCGCATTCAATATGTCTCTGGTTTTCAGACGCTGGAGTCAAAGCAAAAAAACACCTTTAGAAAAAAAAGAACATTGAGAAATCTCTTTTTTCTATACTATATCTGCTGCGGTGCCTGGAGCTGCTTTCTTAAGATGCACCAGTCCTTTTTCTAACGCTGTGATACAAGTTTGACAAGAGCTTTTAAATGGTGTCATTAAAGGTTTTCCTAATTCATCGGTGCAGTTGTTTGACTAATTTGAAGAGCAAATGAGTTAGCGAGGATAATGTCTGCGGCTAAATGTGGAAATGGCTTGTCATCAATTGTTTAACAATTTAACAAAGCTTATCTGCAGGTAAAAGTGAGCCACACTTAAATAGCCTTTACTTCATTTAACTTTGGATTTGTATGGTCTTTAATCTTAAATCATATTTTCTTAAGAAATATATCATTCTAATCCATACAATACTATACGTTTTAAATCAATGTGTAAGTACATAACTAAGCCCACAGACATTCATGTTGCCTGTGATCTGGATCTGATTTACTTTCTTACTTAATAATCACTGATTCTGGAATTCTTCTGGCAAATAATCATGCAGTGACATCACAGTGATCACAATTAAAAACCATTGTATGTGTAGGCACTGAACACTGTGTGAATGTAGCACTAGTTTTCGTAAAACTAGTAATCGGAAACCGTTTCAAAATTCTGAGTTTGAGCAGAGAAATGCTTATTTTCAACTCAACCCATGGCCTTGTTTACGACTATGCACTCACCCAGTCTTGGCAAAGTTGGTCCAGTAGGTCATGACTACAGCGCTCAGCATGACGTCGTTCTTGGAGAAGTTGCAGGGGAACAAGTCAGTTGGTCCAATCATAGGAATCCCAAACACATAGGGCACCTCGTCTCCGTGCGCCGCGTCGGACCAGGCCGGCTTCATCAGACTCTGGCAGTGATGGTAAAAGGCGTAGAAGTACGTTGGCGATCCGTATCTGGCATGGAGATCGGCTGTTACCACTGACGGCTCGACCCATTGGTGATCAGTGAAAAGCGCCACCAAAGTTTTGCGCCTTGTCTCCGGGTTGTCCCTATCAGCCCAGTCTGTATACATGAACTTGATCGTCTCTCGAAGTGTATCCTTGCCTTCTGGGTATCCATACAAGCTATCAACAAAATCCGACACAGAAAAGTCAAAATCGTTCCCGGAGACTCCATCTTCTGAATCCACAACATTCTCCACAAAACGCAGCCCCTCCCCCTGGTTGACCCCGAGCATGATGTCATAGTTGAGGAATTCCCCCTGCTCCATCAGAATTTCGGGATCGTCTGGAATTACGTCTCCGTCAATGACTGGTCCGAAGGCGACGTGGTATCGGGCCGGTTGGATGTCCTGCTCCACTAGTTCTCGGGAGCTCTTTTTTCTGAGGCAGTCAACCATGTCCAGCGTGTCCAGAACGTTGCAGCCCACCTTCTCGGCCAGGAGACGTGTGTATTTGACTGGCTGGTAGTTGACAGCCCAACTGGAAAGGGCCGATCCGCTCTGGATGATGGCTCTGTGGAACAGGCCTGAAAAAGAGGAGAATACTGTTAAGATAAGGCATGTGCATTTCCTTTCCTTATTGTACAATAACAATTGTGGCAAAATGTCTTACGTCTGTTTACTGCTGCATGCTGGTAAGGAAGAACCAGTTTTCATGTGAAAATACATTGAGTTGAATTGAATACGCCATTCAATTCAACTTAATGTATTTATGTATAGCCCTAGATCACAACAGTAGTTGTCTCAAAAGACTTTACAAATTTGTCAATTCGCCAACACAGATCAAAGAATCAGACACTTCAAACGCAGGAAATGCAATAATAGCAAACACATATAAGCCTTCTGTCCATAGTGGGCGGATGACAAATGGCCGTAAATGTTAATACATGTGCATAAATATTCTTAAATGTCCTGGATCATCACCAACCAATGTCCTGGTTCCACAAATTAGTTACAAAACTGCTCTATAGTTGTGCTATAGGGAATAAACAGTCTGGGTTGAAGAAGTTAATCCAATCGATTATTATATAGTTTCTAACTAAATTAGTAATTGTTTCAGATTTGAGATAGAAATCTCCTGATTCCAAGACCTGTATCCATGCATTTCCCTACATTCTGCGTACATTTTAATTTGTATGATTTTATTACTCATCTGTGTCCTATGCAATTTCAGGGCTCCAAATATTTGAATCAAACTGAACAATCTCTGATGCCTACAGGGGTAAAAGCTCCTGGGTTAGGAGAAGGAATAGTGGTGACTTCTCTTAGAATGATTCCAGTAGTGATACCATAACTCAATAAAATATCACCAAGGCTATAATACACTAATCAATAAATCCCAAATAATCGATTATTGATGAATAGTTTTTTGAACCCTTCAGACATGAAAAAGAGGTTTAATGGTTCTGACAGAGCTGTGGTAACTACAAAATTAGATGTAAAAAGTATTTATCATCAAACAACCAAATATGTCATGTCTCTAGTTGAAGGATTCAAACCACTTTTCAATTAATCATAAGAACAATCAACCGACTGATGGGTTTTCAAAATATTTGTTAAATACAGTCCTATATGTGTGTGTGTGTGTGTGTGTGTGTGTGTGTGTGTGTTTTGTGAGATTGTGTGTGTTTGTGTGAGAGAGTTTGTGTGCAGAGATTGGCAGTTTTCCATCACTCTGCCCCGGGAAAATCTGTGCCTACAGTCATTGTTTTATTAGCTATAAACACTTCTGACAAGCTTTCACATAATGCCCAGTTTTCAGAACAGAACCCATGAGCATCATTACCCACGCTCCTTAAATACATGTTTTTGCTTTTAATAAAAAAACACTCATTGTGTGCTCTGACAGGACTTTGTTATCCAGCCAGATTTAATAATGTTTAAATGGACAAAAGGAAGGTCTCAAATTCAATCAAGCTGGGGGCCATATGAAGTCGAGTAGGTGAGGCCTGGCATTATGGGGAATAGTTATCACATGTGGGGCGACAGTGGCTCAGTTGGTAGAGCATAAACGTTTGCATCTGTGACTTTTTGTATTGATGAAGGTATTTTTACGAAAAAATTAAGAAAGGTCTTGAATATTTTGTATATATTTCTATGAACAAAATGAGTACAACTTGGTTTGAACCAAAAAAAAAAAGTTGGAAAAACTAGACAAAAGGCTTTTTATTGTTGACTGGGTTTAATAATGTTTACTTTTAATTATCACTTATTGAATTCAGGATTAAATATCCATGGTCATTAAAAGGGCATCCCAGACCCTCAGTGGGGGCCGCACTGACATTAATCTTTGATATCCACCAGTGGCACAATATATCTTCGCCCCCCGCAAATGGCCCGCAGGTCACATGTTTGAAACCCCCAGTCTAAAGTAATCAGTTCATGTCCAACATCTAGGTGTAATACATATTATACATCTGTCACAAGAGGAACGCAATAAAATAACACACATTAGTACGATCTTCAGTGAAGTGCACTTGTACAACATGAGCCATGGCCTCAGCTTCTTCACACTTTAGTCTTATTAAAAGAACCTTCTAAGCCCAGTCGTGCCCTTTTAATGTATTCTTCAAGAGGGAAGTGGACAATGTATGCCTATAATGTACCCTGAAGAATACTGGCTTCTGCATGCTGGAAAAATATGTACAAGAACAAGCTGAAACCAAACTAATAACTTCATTCTGTGTCATAGCAGCTCGTTGTGTTGCTCCAAAGGGAAGTGTGTGCGCAGCCGTTCATATAAAAAAAAAAAGGCCAGGCAGCGGGATTGTCATTGCCACATGACAGAATATTGCAATGCTTGGTGTAATGAATGTGCAGATGGGGTAGTCTTACAGACAGCTCTCAGACTGCAGGCCGCCGTCTGTCGGTCAACATCCTTATTCCATACCATCTCTATACTCTGGATGAAATATGTTGTCTTTATTAAGCAGATGCTGCAATATGCTTCCAAAATCTTTAATACAGAAAACCTGGCAAAGCAAACCCATCAAATGCCAAATAATATTTAATCCTCTGAGGAGACCAATTTGAGTGTCGCCTTTAGTCGAAGCAGCATGTGCTCTCCTGGCCCCCTTTCCTTTAATGCACGCACTTTTTGAAGAAAAGCTCATATTGGAAAATGCTCAAACAGTATTTTTAGGCACAGTTGCACCTGCTTCCAGACATTACATGCACACACATACAGCTGGCTGCAAAGTCAAGAGATCAACATCTTCGTCAATTCAAGTTTGTGGGTGGATGACTAAAAATACAACTGACACCTGTGCTGTGCGTTTCCTTTTTATTCTATATGAACAAGAAATTTGTACTTTAGAATAGTACTACCAAGCCAAAGTGCAGCAGTCTTTTCAGGCAGGATACAGTTAAGAGTAGTGTGGGCGAATGTGTGGGAAGCATAAAGGAACGGAGGAAGAACTTAGCCTCACAAATGAAATTGTGTTTTTCAGAAAATGCGGCAATACTTTCTACTAAAAGGATCAGGAAGGAAAAAAACAAACATTATGTCCCTCAATATAATTGGATTTCAGAAGGTTTCAGTGCAGTGAAGGAAGTATGTTCATATTTGCCCAGTATGACAGCCTCACTGTTTTAATCCTGAAGACAATAAAGGACACACAGTGCCTCGAACAAGTCCTAATACAGATTGAACTTTACACATTCTCTCATACAGCAACCACAAACATAACGATTTTATTTTTCTGAAAGACCACAACCTAAAAATGGTCCATAATGATATATATAACAACATCATGGACCATTTATGTATATTTATATATATATATATATATATATATATATATATATATATATATATATATATATATATATATACTGTACATGGGGGGGTGGCAATCAGATTTTCCACCCAAGTCTCAATGCACCAGTCCCTCACTGATCCTCCTGCAGGTGGTGAGTCCACGGGATGATGGCTTCTCCATGATTGAAGACATGGCCTTGGTCTTTCAGCGGGGGCTTCAGGCAATGTGGGGTTAAGTAAGTAATCTTTATTTATATACCCCCTTTCACAGACCAGAGTCACAAAGCGGTTTACAATTGTTAAGTGTCTTGCCCAGGGACACAACGACAGCAGACATCAGTGGGGACAGATGACATGGGTCGTGGTGGATTTGAACCCACGACCATTAGGTCCAAAGACCAGTACATATATAGCCAAATTCCATGGTGAGATTGAATCTGGTTTGGTGAGACCAATCTGGTTTGGTCTCTGTACCTAAACCTGAGTGGGCGGATGACTTTTCACTAATCTCTGTTAAATCAGTTCAACTTCAGTTCAACTATTATTTGGATATATACAGTAGGAATCGCAGCGACCATTTTCGTGGCCATATTTCAGATAGTATAAATGATAATGCATTTCCTTTTTGTTTCTATGACTTTACAAAACTACTAATACGCGCGGAAAAATACTTTTGTGTTATAATTTATAATCTAGGGGTGTAGTCTTTAAAACTGAATTATATACTGAATATTTTTTCCCCCTTGAAAAACAAAATCCTTTTAACAGTTTTTAAACAGCATTTTCACACCTTACTAAACCATTTGGCTTGAAGGGATTGCTGCCAAAAGTTCTGTGCAGATGACAAATAATAGTACAAAACATTTACACCAAGGAGAAAGTGCTGTGAAACACATGGCATGTTAGTTACATTTGAGTAAGAGAGTGGGTGTTGCCGTGGTTCGGAGGTAAATAGCAGACCTAAGTGCCAGATATATCACTTGGGTCTGAATCAAAAACAGTGGGGAGTTTGTTTCTCGTTGGCGTGGATGAAGTGTTTATTTACAGAGATATTTACATGTATTTGTTTGAGTCTCATTTGTAGAATTAATGTGTCTGGGTGAGTGAACTGTGAAATGTTTCAGCAGCGAGTGCCTTCGCCAGCATTACAACTTTGCATTAGAACATTGATTTTCCTTGTGCCTTGAATTGTGATTTCTTGATTCAATCTTTGCAATGATCTGATTTGTGTTCCATTTGGAGATAGAGGCTGCTCTTCTCTTTTATGTTTGCCCTGGAAATGCCCTCTATTCTGTTTCGCAGTGGTGGTTATGATAGGCAATATAGAGTTGGGAGTAAGTCTCATCAGTTGTATTAGTAGTGGCAGGAAGTTTAGCAAAAAGTTGAAAAATGGTCTAATAACCTCTCATGAGTGTAAAGAAACAATTTAGGTTTTCATTTTTCTTATTTAATTTATTTCAGGAGTGTCAAACTGGTCCTCAAATGGCAGATGTGGCAGATTGCTTGGTTGGAATTAAAACCTGCAGCCACACTGGCCCTTTCTGGAGCCAGTTTGACACCTCTGTCTTATGTAAACTAGTAAAAAAAGAAAACAGACCAGTGAAATTCAGATAATTACATGGTATGGTCTCATCTTGCCAAATCTACATGAAAACCTGTGTGCCATGATTTAGGTGTGAAATGTATCTGGATCAAACCTTTTCAATTGTGTGTTTGCCAACTTGTAACCATGTGAACAAAACGACGAAAGATTAGACAGTGTCAAAC